CAGGTGAGATTTCATGTGGAGAGGTATAAAGTGGTATTGTGCGTTTGGACAAATCCAAGCTTTATTAGTATAACTGTGGGCTTCCAGGTAGCTTTCTACAGTCAAGAACAAGAGGAAAATATGAGCTCAAGTAACAGTCAAGAGTGGAAAAAGAAAAAAAAAAACAAAGGCTAGAAATTACTGGGAAAGAAAAGGAGAAAAAAGTAGCATTATTCAGCTACAAGAGTAATGTTCTTTTTGCAACTTACATGCTGTATATAGTTTGGACCTTATTTCAAAATCAGAGAATTGCAGGAAAGGATGCTTAAGAAGGCTGAGCAAAGATGGTGGAACTGGTACATGAAGGACAGTGGAATAGACAAAAAAATTCTAGTCCACAAAAGAGAAGGAAATATGAATGGACTGAAGAAAGTAAACAGGAATTGATTATTCATACTCTTTCAGTGCAATAACTGAACTATTTTGAATGAAACTAGCAGGTCTTAGGTTTAAAGCAGACATGATATGTAGCATGCACTTGTGTTTTGGAATTCTTTGCCACAGGACTTAGTGATTTACCAAAAAGCTTAGAGTTGCAAAAAGATTTAGGAAAACAAGCGAACACAAATCCGTTAACACCTATGTGAGCATGAAATCTTTGAAAGTTGGAAGTGTGTTCTGGAGAGGTACTGCTATATACTTGCTCTCCCATGCTCTTAATCATCTGCTGTTGATCATTCCTGGTGACAGGCTAGTTACTGTGGTGGACCTCTCTGTGGTCATGGTGCGTTTCTTCTCAGATTGGAACTTCATGTCTCAGTTTTGACAGTGCATTGAGTCTGTGCCTAGGAAGTCAAAGGTCCTGGCTGATTGAAAAGGCAAAACATATTCCACTTTCCCTGCTGTTCATGTGCTGGCTTCTTTCTCTTTTTCTGCCGTAGATTGCTTGTATAATTTGGACAAAAATATTTAAATCTCTTTCATCTCTACTGTCTACTCTCTGTAATGCAGAAGAAATGGAGGTGCTTAAAGTTGCTTTATTTGTACATAATCATTGAGTGTTTGGAAGTCCTTGTGTCTGAGACATTGTTTGAGTGTGAAATGTGGTGGTTTAATACCTAACCCTGTCAAAACTTCATAGCTTTAATTATACTGAGTACTTAAATAATAATCATGTATTGTATTTACTTTATCAACAAATATAATAGCATGAGGTATTACCCTCCCTAAATCTTAAATTATCCAGGGTGTGGGAGGCAGCTTAGACTAATCACCGACTAGACAATAATCAGTCTAGTCATACAACAAAATTTGCATTCTTTCAGTGATTGTCTAATTCAAGAAGTTTGGGAAGTGCAATATAGAGTATGCCTTCCATTTCAGCTGCAGAGGAGATACAGCATTTGCAGGGCAATGAGATATTTGTGATGTTAACAATCTAAATGATTTTTATTGATAATGACAGATGGTTCTTAGATAATGTGCTCTGAATTGTCTGTAATATGTTCAGAATAAGTCTTCTAGAAGGTTGTACATCTGTCTTGAGATCTTTTACTAAAATATTTAAATCAAGGTCATTGTTTATACTTGATTTTAAATAGGTTTTAGCTGGCAGTCTGCATTTCTGTACATTTAGAGATCAAACTGTTTGTAACTCCAAAAGCTACAAATGGAAAAGTATAATAGGTAGCAGGTGTTAGAAAAGGCAATTATGCATTAGCTGTTTTACTCAATTTCTAAAACTGTCTGAAACTATCCATTGGAAATACTTTGTACCTAGACTTATCTCTGAAGCATGATGAATTTTTAAATCTGTAGGGGATATGCATTTTTTCTCTAATGAATTGCATATTTAAACCTATTTGGTTTCATTTTAAAAAGCTGAAGAAAATTACATTGGTGGAAAAAAAAAAGTTGAACAAAAAAATCACAAGACAAAGTACTTGTTCTTATGTAATTCGTGATAATTTTTCTATAGTTCCTTACAAAAATTTTCAATTTTCAGTATTGCAGGTCTGGGCATTTTTGCTTTTAATTATTTTTTAAGTTATTTATCTTGACTTTTTATGGGAGAATTTTCTTTATTAAGTGATAATAGAATGAATTCTTAGGTTTAAAATCAGATCTTAGGTTATTATCAGAAAAAGAGAGTACTTTGATGATCTAATTTGACTACCTATGCAATGTGGTTTTGTGAGTCACTATAAGAGAGAGCAAAATAAACAATTTTGCCAACAGCTACTGTAAATTGACTTTCAAAGTTAAAATGCTGCTTTCAGATAGATTTATTTAAACCTGTCTCCTTCTCCCATGTGCTTTTCAAGAAATTATGTAATATTGGAGGGGTGAGGAGGTGTAAGAAGAATTAGTATATATTACTATGAAACCAAGTTCCTCTCAGTTCTCTCTTTCTTGCTTATATCATGTAATTAAAGTAGTCTACACCTTTATTATATTTAGGTGGGGTAACATATAATCCAATACATCTAATATCCTGATTAACAATTGTTATTTGAACTGAAATTTTTCTGCCTATAGGCTATTCAGTCTTTCTACTTCTTCATCTGCAAAAATGGTCTTACTTTTTCTTATCTACCCTCTGCAGTAATTCTGTACTTTAGTTTATGCGTTCAGCAGTCTCAATCCATTTTTGTTTGCCTTCATCCCACAACGGTCATTTCTCTTCTTCCCTGCTTTTCTGTTTGATTACACATGCTCAGGCCGGTGCCGTGATTTTCAGTTACGCATTCTTTGAAGTAGATCTATAGTTCACACAGATCATAGTTCATCATGTAATGGTGAACTGGGCTGGTTCTTGCTCTGTCAGAAAGTCTTCACTGGTGACAGCTCACACTTCAGAGTGGGCTTCTGGAAAGTGTGTTGATGTTTTCTTGTACAGACTGTGGACTTAAACACAGTCTGTTTTCATTGGACATTACTTCCCTGTTTCCTTCCAAATTTGAAGAAAGGTGATCACTTATAAGATTATGTTGTATATCCAAAAAAAATAGAAACTTCATGTATGATTAAAGGCTACTACATTAAAAGACATTTTTAAAATTCGTATTAAAAGTGAGAAAGAGGTTGCAGTTCAGGCTGAGAAAAATAGACCACAAGTACTGTTTTTATACTTAATTTTTAAAATTTTAAAATATTTTGCTCATTTTAGAGATAAAAGTTTATAAAATATTATCAAAGGCTGAATTTAAAAGAAATACTTCCTGTTCTGTGAATTTATTTACACAATATGGTAGGAGGAGGTTTGTTTTCTTAGAATTAGCTCCTTGCATTTTTCAGGGTTGTGTTAGATTATTTAAATATTATCACATTAGTGTCTGACATGATAAGTTGAAGCAGCACTTGGCTTACAAGTATGTCTTCTTGAGATACTATTTTATGCTTTTATATATATTAACTTTCCATCCCAAGAGAAATGTCTACACTGAAGGAAAAGACATGGATTTTTCAGTAGAACGGTACTGAGTACATGATTCTGTAAAATGCTAACTTCAGTATTGTAAATTGGACTTTACTTTGATTTTTCTGGTTAAGACAAACTCTAGGGAGTTTAGTTAAAATTACCATATGCTTTCTCTCTCCTGGGATTTTACAATGTTATTTGAGTGTTTTCCTAGAGTAGGAAACATATCACAGGATTTTATGATCCAAATATATCTTCTCTGCTTCCAAAATTAGCTAATTCTTATTTTCAGTTCCAAGTACACTTTTAAATTTAAATCTTCCCTCCAAATAATTGGCAGTATTTCTTTTCTTAATTCTTACCAATTTGGTGGACCAGATGATCTGTAGTTTCTGTAGCTGTTAACAAGATGTTTGTACAAACCTCTTGTAGTACACTGCTCTTTTATCAGATGAAGGTAGAGGAGAAGGAAAAGTAGCAGGGGAATACTTTTCCTTCTCCCCTTACGATAGCAGGGAAGTTTTAGCACATATTTTAAATACCATGTTCTTCTTGGTTAAATAGTAATAAAATAGATATTTTATAGGTGTTATGCATTACATAAGAAGTTGTTTCAATTCACTATACTTGATCACAATACTCTATTTTTCTAAAGAGTAAACTGCAGTTTTGAAATACCAGCAGAGACTATGAAAAAACTTGCTATATTTTAAAAGTGCTATAACTAGATCTTGTAAATTATATAGATATCAGCATTTAAATATCTCTACATTTGCCAGATTGTGTAGTTTAATTTTATAATTATTATTTTTAAATGAGATTTTACATAGCACTAGTTCAGTCATCGCATTGATAATTTAATATCATAATTATTTTTTCAGTTCTCAGTGGTATAGAAAATAAAAGCTAAGATTGATTTGGTAGTATGAGAAAACTTAGTGATGTCTTTTAAAAATAGGATCACAAATATTTCTGGACTCTTAGGTATACTTATAAAATACTAATTTCTAGAGGGAATTTTATAAAGTGACAGATTCTGCTGACTGGAACTAGAACCGAAGGCTGCAGATCTGAATGGAAAAGTAAATTGTAAATGTTTCATGTTACAATGAATAGATTTTTTCCTTTAGTGAAAACCTCTAATTCAATTGAATACAGAGCAAGTTGTTTATTTTTAAAATGCTTAATAATTCTCTGTAGCAGAATTTATAGTTCAAAAGCTACTACTGGTAATAGAGTTTGCTTCTAATAATGGAGATGAAGCATTATGTTCATGTCACAATGTTGAGCTGGACAGTACAGTATTTCATGCTATATATAAGCTAATGGGTAACACCAGAAAAGGAAAGCACCATCAGTAAAGAATGAATTTAAATGTGAGAAATGGATGCATACCTCACCTCCATCCCTGTTATAGATAATAGCTATGAATAGGTTTGGCATAGATGAAATGCAAGCATGTTTGTAATACAAAGAGAGACAGATATAGCTGACATTTGTAGTTAGTAGTGAATGTCATAAAAATACCCTTGGAGTATATGGTGATCAAAAGTATTATTATTTGTGTATTGAAAGGGTGATATATTTTTATTTTTTCTAGTCTGAACCAGAGGGTTTTTCTCACTTCCATTTGTACGTCTGTGCTGCCTTCCTTGTCAGGTGGAGGAAAGAGATCCTGGAAGAGAAAGATTTTCAGGTAAGTGAGGGGAATATTTTTTTCAAGCACAGGGTGGTATTTCTTAGATTTACCTTCCTAACATTACTTGGGGATGAATTTAAGAGGAATAGTAGCAATTGCAGCAAGACTGACAATGTCTTACTGTTAGTTAGAGTTGCTCCAAAACTGTTGGGCCTGAAGTGATGTACTATAAGCTGTAGGAGATGTGTTTTCTTTGTCCACTCTGGGAAAAAAAGGATCTTGTTTTAACTGAGGCAGACTTTGAGAAGATGATTTCTGGAGGTGCTGTTACCTTGATATTTCACAAAGAGATTTTCTGAAAAGGTAATTGGATTTTTTTTTAATCTTAAATGCATCACGGAAGTATTTATTTATAATTTCTCATCTATGTAATATAACAGCTTTCTCTAACAAGGTCATGTTAATTCTTTCAAAAAAGCTGGGCAAGCAGTCTCTTAAAATAAGGAGACTGTTTTTCAGTAGGAAGTAAAAGGACTTCAGGCCCCTACACTTCAAAACCTTACATTTTTCAAGCAAAGAGCATATCAGGAAGTTGCTTAGAAGAGGGTTTGAATATGCGAGGTAGGCAAATCATTTGCATACATCTGTAGAAGTTCAGTTATTTTTATGAACTGGTGACAGTTCACTTTCATAGAAATGTTTATATTGGATTTTATCCTATGATAACACGTTCAATGCCTGAAAGGCTTTAAAGTCTTGTTTGGAGACTGAATGTAAACAACCCGTGCTGTGAAGCCCCCACCATTGCCTACCCTGGGGAAATGGCCCATTACCAGCTTATTTTTCTCCATCTGACTGAACTCTGCGGCCCTGTACAAATGAACCATTGTGCAAATTTGTGCATCACTTCAATCTAGTTTATCTTTCTTCATAAAATGATTTATTCAGAGTACTTCAGTTGTTGTTGCCTATCTTCACAATAAATTAATCCCTAAGGGCACAACATAACAGCTTTAATTTATACTACCTGCTAACACTATCAGATTTTCTCAGTTTAGGGTATTTTGTCAAAAACAACTTTAATGTTGATATCCATGCCTCTCAACTACAATTGTTCACTGTTAATCCTTCCTGTTAAATTTTTCCTGTTGTTTTCTTGCACGAAAAAGTATAATTTTCCCCTCACTACTGAATCTATTACAACTATGCTTTAAGTACATAATCCCAAGGTATAGTACTATGAAGATTTGTTGTCCTTACATGCATTCAGATTTGTTTACTTATTTAATAATTAAGGTAATTTTTTCGGTTTAATTTCTTTATAGGCTATGTAAACTAGACTCTAAAGTGTAAAAATCAGAAACACACTTGGAATACATTTATCAGACTGCTTTAGCTTGCTTACAATATAGAAATGCAATTAGTAATTTTGAGGATCTGTAGACCAGTGCTAGTTTTATCACTGTCATATGTTATCACTAAACGACTTGGCCTTCTTTATTGTGTAACATGACCTTTTAAAATGACTAAAGTGTTATCAATTCTCTAAATGATACTTCTGTCCCACAGGCAAGAATAAAATCCATTATTCTTCTGCTTCATTAATAATAGCTGTAGATCATTGCCTAGTCTTCAAAGTAGTAGCTCAAGTAATAAGCACTTAAACTACATTGGAAAATCGGGAAGTTCAGTATATGCTGTTGGAGTACTATGATTGCACTGAATTCACATTATTGAGAAGTCGTAGCTATAGTACATTTTGTGCAGAAGATTTTTATACCGTAAACTGTATCAAGAATCATATACATATAGTAATTTCTCTTGCACATTGTGTGTGTTGTATTTGTTTTTCTGCGTATGACAGGAATAAAGGAGGTCTCTCCTAATTGTCAGTCAGAGGGCCAGGTTCTTTACTACTAGCTGTGAAAACTCCTGCTCTTCTTTTACATGTCTGTTTGACCTCTTTCAGTAGAATTACAAACCTCACAGGAATTTTAAGTCAGAATAATTTCCCCAGAACATCAGACGTGGCGATATGCCAGATGAGACACTGATCAGGTTTTGAATCAAAGACCAGTTTTAAAGGACTTGGTTATGCAATACTTTTATTCCTACTATTTGATGAAGTATATTAGCAGTAATGTTACAGACAGGACAGTGATAGAAAATAGTCTTTGGAAACAGATATTTTAAGAGCATTCTCGTAAGTGTGTCTTGCTGCAGCTAAGCAATCAGTAAAAGTTTGAAGTTCATTCTTCCTCATATGAACGGATTACTTGACTTATATACCAAATTTTTGTCCCTCAATAATAATAGTTCCTTATTACAGACACCATGTGTATGTCATTCTTGCTTTGGGGGCTTTTTTGTGTATTGTTGTGTAGCAGAGAAAGAAATTCTTCAGTGAAAGAAGTTAGGCTGACTGGACTCATACTATAGAGTGATATGACCTGAAAATTTCTTGGTATTTGGTTTGTATCTGTAGAATTAAATATTAAGATATCAACAGAAGTAAGTTTTGGGGAGGGAAATAGAGGAAGAAATAAAGGTTCCAACTCAGGCCTCCAATGTTCAAATATTCATGTATCTATATTATATGTATATATTATAGCTGTACATGTATGTACCTAAACAGGTGTATATATAAACACTTGCAACACAAGCATATAAAACTGTGTTGATTCTCTGCCATATTTTTCATGTTTCAAATAACATAAAAAATCATTTTTTCACTGTAGGGTGATAAGTCATGATAGAAGTTGTCATTTTTGAATAATTTGAACAAGTTATTGCTCTCACTGCTATCTATTTGGTTAAGTATAAGATATCAGTGTAGATCTCATCTGAAATGTGAGATTTGCAGGTTAATGTAAGTTTTACCAAGGACAAGTGAGGAGGAAGGTGATGCTCTATATATAAATCTCAAGCAATTTGCGTTACGTGTAGAAGTTTTCCCATGTTTCTGCCTGATGAAAACTGGGACTTCTTGGCTTTTCAGAGAAAATTCCACACCACTTCTCCATTCCACGTCCTTATAAATTGTTCCTGCCAGACTGTTGTAACATACAGTGGAAACAGAGAACAACTATATCAAACTCCAGTGCCCCAAGAGAAAACATCTGATTTTAGGAAGAGGGGGGAAGTGTCAAATGGTTTTGTTTTCCTAGGAGTTTATAGTTGCTTGCATTTCCTGCTGCTTAATCTTTCTAGGAAGCTTTGATCCCATTTTGGAATTTACTACTTAATGCAACGAGCTGTGTGATGCAGTGCTATGTAACGAGGGCAAAAATTATTACATGTAATTTTCAAATTCCACAGTGTCACTTTTTGATAGCAGTGAAACTAAACCTACATGTTATCATGTAATCAAAGATTAATATTATTGAAAAGTGTGAGGGTTTTTTAGTTTTCATTAGAACTTGTTATTCTCTCACAGTTCTCACTTCTAGGAAGAGTCTTCTTTACCTAGACAAGATACCCTACAAACCCAGGTACAGAGAGCTAGTTTGGGTAGTTCTGTAGCTCTGTTCATATTTCAGATTAGCAATTTATACTTCACATGTGGGGGAGCAGGGAACAAAATGTGCAGACAGTAAATGGAAGACCTTTTGATCCTGCCTCAGATTTTCCTTTGTAACTGATGTGATGTTTTATAGAATCAAACAGGTCATACTTGGTTTATGATGTTTCTGTTGATGGTATAAATATTCTGTGTTAATTTACTGGTTCCATATTAATATCAGATTAAAAAAAAAAAGAAAAAAGGCAGTAAGTTTAATATAGATAAAAATACAATTTTTAAAAATGTGATAAAGTATGCCTTGTGAATGAGAAATGTGAAATTCATTTAGTTTCTACTATCTAAGCTTAAGTAATTAAACATGCAAGTAATGAAAACCTTTCTACTTATCAGCATGTCTTAGACTTTGATTTACTTTTATTCATTTTCCTACCTACAGCCATAATTCCAAAATTCTCCTGAATTCTTGAGAGATATGAATGGTTGATGCTCTCAAGTGATAAAATATTCAAGCACAATTTTAAGCATATTTAGAATTGAAATATTAATAGAAAATATAACTGTTGAGTTTAATGGTGTCACGTACAAGATATCTGAGAGATTTGTAAGGATACAGGTCTTCAGGGACGGATTCAGCTGTTGAACTGAATATAAGATAATAGTAACTATTATTAAGTAAGTAATAGTTAGACGGATACTGGTTTATTTGTTAGATTTAGTCCAAATTTCTAGTTTAAGTAAGTTATCATTTGTTGACATAGCTGAGCTGTAAAAATATATTCAATATGCTGTGGTAAGGAATCTGTCTTTTCTTATTCATGATTCTAAGATATAGGCTTTTCTGTCTGTCTAACAGACATTTTCACCCATGCTGTCATCAACTCACATCTTTATTACTGCAGTGTCCTTTTCCTTGACAAGTGCATTTTTACTTCAATTACATTCACCCAGACTGCAAAGAAGCTGTAAAGATCATTTTTCAGTCCACCATTTTTTCTTACTTTCTTGCTTTGCATCTCCCTTAGCTCCCTTTCCTTTGTAGCACTAAGGAAAACTTAAGACACTTTGTCTTTCAAGGCATTTAATGGACTAATACTGACACCTTGCATGTCATCTCAAATTCAGCATTGAGATGCTGACTACCAGTTTATCAGCCAGTGATGAGAGAGCCTCATCACGCACTTGAGCTCTCAAGAAAGTATCTGTGCTGTCTCCCAGGTGACCACCTTACTTAAATGGAGCACCTAATGCACGTATTCAGTTACTTTTCTTTAAATCCTTCTGTTAAGTTCTGGGTTTTTTGCCCAGAATAGATTTGACATGTAGACTTGAATCTGTTAATAGCACAGTCACATTGAATAGTTTTTTGTTGCTTCTTTTTACTTTTATGTGAATTTGTTGTCTCTTGTTTTATACTTGAGCCATAAAATCTTCAGAATAGTGGCTGTGCTTTATTCTGATTTATATAGTAGTTAAAATAATTATTGTTTAATTATTATTTTAGATAAGTACTAGGAAGTAAGCCTTATTCACCTCA